TCACACCCTGCAGAAAGCACATCACGAGGGAGTGGGTGTCACCAAACCCACCCAGGAGAGATAGCTGTAGCGCGACAGCCCCTTCTCCATCAGACCTTGCAGGAAAGAGAAAACGGATCCCACTGAACAGGTAGGCAGATCCGTCTCCCTCTCAATGCATCAACGCTGAAAGCCCAACCACTTAGCTTTACAGCAAGACGTGGTGGAGACTGCCCGTCGCTTGGATGGTCTGTGCGACATCAGCGGCTAGACCAGCCTGAGTCTGCCTCTCCAAAATTTTAGGAGAAAAACCTGGAGAGGCTGGTCCAACACCAGCATTGTGCATTTGAAGCCTCACCCTTCACTGTAGGCTGCGTCACTTCTACCAGAATGACGAACAACCGTTCCTACCTCACCTAACTGGAGGGATGAGATGGGGTGGGGGGAATGCAAATAGCAGTCCTTCTGGCAATGGTGCGTGTGTAACGCGTCCATCCCCAAGGGTGGGTTGTCCTGTAGCTGAATTGAGAACCACAGCGGGCAGTGGGTGTTGGCAAACAGATCCACTTGCGCTCTCCCGAAGCGAGCTCAGATCTGCTGAATAACATTGTTGTGCAGTCTCCACCCGCTCAGTTGGGGGCCAGCCCTCAACATGAGGTCAGCCAGCACCGTTCTCCAAGCCTGGCACTTGAAGGGCTTTCAGAGACAGCAGGTGTTCAGATGCCCACGTCCATTGGATTCCCTGCCAGCGCCAACAGAGCCGTGGATTAGACTTCGCCCTGTCTGTTGATGTATGCGCTGGAGGAAATGCACCACCAAACTAGAAACACAGCTTGGAGTGGATTGTGGATGTGTGGTGTGTGGCCCCCTCGGCTCTTCTCGGGGAGCCACAACACTCACTGCACTCCCCTGGCAGGTCCCTCCCATCCAGTGAGAGACTCATCTATGAAGACTGACACGGATGAAGACACCCTGCCGCGCAGCACCCGCTGCAACCTGTGGACCACCAAACGGCACGCACAGATACGCACTTGGAGTGTTGTAGTTGAGCACAATCCCCATATACTCCGCTCGCTGCAGGGGCCGGGGGGAGCTCTCTTCCCAATTGATCGCAACCCCAGGCTGTTGCGGTGCAAAATCAACTGGGCTGCGTGGAGATCACTCAAGGCTTCACTCTCTCCGTGACCATTAGGTTGTGAATAGAAAGGAACCGTCATGCCCTTCTCGCACAATGATTGCAGTGCAATGCATCTGCTGAGCGTGTGGGGGGCTAGCAAGTAGTCGAACGGGCTATAGTGTCCCTGAACGCGGGGTTGCTCCCTGGTGTCTTCGAACGCACCACAGCTGGAAGAGACGTGATGTCTGGTTGCGTCTCTCCGGCTATATCTGACCTAGATTGGCGTTAGCTCGACTCATGCTGTTGCAGCTAGTCAGCTGAACGGTGTGCTGATTCGGTTGAGCATATGTCGACAATGTGGTTGTGTGTTTTAGGAACACACACAGTGACCCGTTGCGCGGGCCGGACAGCCGGCTAGCGAGGAGGAAGCCCAGGTCCTATTACTGTCTCGCTCGGATGCCACCAGGAGAGCGACGTGGGACATGGGCTTCTCTCCCAGTAGTTTGAATAGCGCAGCAAAGACCCGGGCCCTCCCACTGTCTCTCTCGAGTTTAGCAAGGAGAGCAGTGTGGGCCGTAGGTCGGATCATTAGCTTAGCATCGGTGAACGTGCAGTTTTGTGGAGACTGAAGCGTGTTACGCACCGAGCCGAAGATGGAGGGGGTTCGGTGGGGGGGGAGGATGCTCTTTAGGAATGTACTGTATTTAACCAGTTGAACATTCACAGCATTTACACAGCAGCACATGAAACACAAATAAATGCATGCTGGACACATAACGGAAGCAGGAGGTCTGGTGTGCATCAGCCTCTGTCCCTCTGTCACCTCTTTATTATTATTTTTTTTAAATAAATAATAAGGCTTAGACTTTTTCCAAGGGCTGCAATCGAAAAAGGCCGTGGTGTCCTTGAACGCACCATGGGCCATTTTCGAAAGGTTGAACCGTCAGTGGTGTCTTACAACGCACCACGGCCGGAGTTGGAAAAGGCCGACCGGGCCATGAACGCACCACAGCTGGTGTGACTGTGGTTGACACGTCACCCGGTGTTGACGTCAGCCTCAAGCTCACAGCAGCAGGTAGACAGCCGCCTGCTGCAACAGGCGCTACGAGCTGCTCCAAAGCAGCGAGCGATCTCTTTCGTCCCGCTATACCGAGAGAGACCTGACTTTGGCCGTCTCTCTCCGGCTATAGCAGACTAGCCTAGATGCACTGTGACCGCTCGGTGAAAGAGATGTCGGCAGGGCAGCGTGGCTGTTTATGTAACAGGCTTTCACCGCCAGTGAGCTAGCAACGCGCCCGTGCGAGTCCTCACGTGCACGCTGGGAATGCAGAGCTACAGTAGTAGTCAGTAGACTTCCGACTGGCAGAGCGGCGTGGGCCAAGGGGTGAACCATTAGCTTAGCGTCGGTGAGCGCAGCGGCGTGTTCACCGTAGCTAGCTCAATGAGATTGGGTTGGTGGTGGGGAATTAGCACTTTACAGATTGCAATGTGTTTCTAATAAACAGTTTAACATTCACAGGCATCACCACAGTGTGCACACAAGCAGCACATGTTAGAACAGTGGCTTCGCAGGGCCGCAGGGCGAACCCTCACTCCAGGAGTTAACGTTTGGTCTTTGATGAGAAAAGTTAACTTAGCTCTTTGAGGAGAGAAGTTAACTTAGCTCTTTGAGGAATGAAGTTAACATGTTTTACTCAAAAAAAAACGGTTTCCACATTCTCAAAAGCCTTACCATAATTTTACACAAGCAGCACATGTAAAACAATGGCGTCTTGAACACCAGACGGGGGATTGTGGCAGCGTCAGCAGGCCTCACTCCCTCCATAACGGTCACTTGGCCAGTCGCTCCCTTCCCCAGCAGAGACAGTGAAACATGTTTTTTACTTAAATCACTTCTGAAGTAAGAAAAATATGACCCCTGAATTAGATTTTTTTTATTCAATGCAAAAATGCCTCCTGATAGAAAAGGTTTTTTCCTGCCTTGGGGTGTTGCGTCTATATGGAGTCACACTGTGACCTACAGCTTCAACCTTCTTACTCACACTAGGCTCGGCCCATCTGCCACACACACACACACACACACACACACATATACAACCATGTTTGAATCCAAGTCCTCAAAGTAAGAACTTTTTTAAAGTGTGTTTTTAATACAATGAAGGTAAGCATTTCTTTCTGGGTTATAGTTATGGAGGTAAAACTGTCACACCTATAGCCCAAGAGCTACAAACAGCCACTGAAGGATCACAGCCCACATCTCTAGGCACTTGTCAGATGTAAGTAATGGGTTTTGTAATATGTGATTAACCCAAGGTTCAAGAATGTGTTCAGATTTAATCATGGCTCATTCTGTGGTGCATGAAAGAGTGCAGTGAGCTTCAATTCCACCTCAAAAGACAGAATTACAAAATTCATTCTTCCATCCCTAGGCTGAGGATACAGTTTGTGTTACTGTGCATAAGTCAGTCGAGCAGGAAGGACTTTAACTACAACAAATGAGAAAAATTAGACGAAAGAGCCATTATGTTGGCCATATAGGGCTTTTGCTGTGATGGAAGGAAAGGCATACTGGGATGGAAGCAAAGATGGGTGACATGGTTTACGTAACTCAAAGCAGGGAAAATGCACTGTGGCTGGAGCACGTGCTTGAATTTTCACGGCATACATCTCTGTGTTTTCTGTAAGGCTGAGGCCAGCACAGTCAGCCTTGAAGATGTGACACATCAAATGAAATATACTTATATAAGTAGTGTACTTTGGTAATGCTCTGAATATTAAGATTTGACCTTTTGTAAAATTCTTGTAGATAAGAAGTCAGTGGTCTAACAGTGGCTTTCAGTTGCACATTCAGGGGTTTCACCGTATATGCTTGACCTAATGAGGTCTGAGAGGGGGATCTGATAATAACCTAAAATACACCATTTAGCCAGATTATTTAGAGTTCAAACGTGTAACAAGGCAATGGAGCAAAAAATTGGTGCAATAATTCATAATGAATCCCCTGGAGAAAAAAAAATCTATAGCCACACAATTTGTATAATGCAAATACAAGCATGATTGAGTTCAACAAGGCTCAAAGCTCTCATACATTTCCTCTTTTTCATTTTTAAACAGGCATACAGGAAATTATTAAATTCTGGAATAATATTATGAAAAACTAAAAAACAAAAAAGATATCTAGGGGACATGTTTTGGACATTGTATAAAGCTTTGTTAGGGCTATGACTTTTAAGATGAATACTCACTTCCCATCATATAGACAATTCATGTGTCATGGAGCAATAGAGGTGTTTTATATTTCTTCCTTAATTACATAAGATAATATTGTCCAAAACTTAGAAAGACATACTTGGAAACTTCTTAGGACGATGTGCAATTTCTCGGGTGTGAGAAATTTTCTTTCTCTTTTTCACTTGAATTCTCAAAATTTTTGTCTCCGTCTCTTGGCTACATTGTGTCTTCTCCTCTAATTCACTGACATCTATATTCTGTGTTTTTAAGTACTGATCATGTATGATGCGTAAACAACAATGTTAACTATGATTGGGCAATATCGAGGTATTAGGGTACCAGGGTATTTGTAAATCCAACCTTACCATCAAAAATACAGCTCCTACACATCTCCTTTTACTAAACAGATATAGAGATGCTGTATTGGGGTGATGTTTTGTAGTGTACGTCCTCAATATCGGCGGGTGACACCACATGAAACTGCCTGACATCATCTTCAACTCGATATGTTGTTTTTTTTTACATAAATACATCATATACCATATACTCCAGTGAAATGTCAGGAAGAAGGTGTGAAAAAATAGACACCGTCCAAACCTAAATGTAACCTGTAAAAAAGTGATGAGAAGCGACGTGAGTAGATATGAAATTATGTGTCTCTCCTCTCTCTCAGCTGAGCCTGCATCCACAAAGGAGAACAACTGCCTGAATGCTGCCAAGGCCTGTAACCTGAATGACACATGTAAGAAATACCGCTCAGCTTACATCAACCCCTGTACTAGCAGGGTGTCTGCTTCTGAGGTATGCAACAAACGCAAATGCCACAAGGCCCTGCGGCAGTTCTTTGACAAGGTAATTATGCATGTTAATTTTGAGAGCTGTTTGTAGCTTTCTCGGGTGTTGGATCTTGTAGTTGCTGCTCAAACCAACACCCAAACCTAGGTGTCAAAGGGAAAATGCTATTTTGGGTGCAATTTCACATTAAGCCAACATTGAATCTGATCTCTATCATTACATTTAACTCCATTAAGAGCTACTATTCATGTTGGGAGGAAGCCATAGTGGATTTGAAGTCTCTATGTTCACATTTTGTACATGTAATACTTTACCACAAAGAATTAATAAACTGGTTAAGCTAGGTACCTCAAAGACTAGAGTATAGGTGGAAGCTGCATTATCATTGTTATTATTATTATTATTATTATCATTATTATTATTATTATTATTAGACTTTATTGTCCACCTGGAAATTTGTCTTCAACTTCTCCAAACAAATATGCAACAATGACACCACAATTAAAATTACATAAAAAATACACACAGGTAAGAGTACAACACTGTACCATCATCAATATAGAACAACAATTGTGCCATAACAGAAAATGGAAAGCAGTGCAGCAGATGGAAATAAGATACAAGAAACACATTTAAAAGTGCTTTGGACTTGGATGTTGAAGATGTTTTATATAGCAAGGAACAGGTTTGCAGATATGGACGCCTGGGTGGAGGTTTAGAATGCCACCTGCATCAACATATGTTCTTCTTTCTTTTCTTTCTAAAATAAAGGTTCCAAATAAATACAGCTATGGGATGCTGTTTTGCTCGTGTCCAGCGGGGGATCAGACAGCATGTGCAGAACGACGACGACAAACAATTGTACCCATCTGCTCCTATGAGGATAAAGACAAACCAAACTGTCTGTCTCTTCAGAACACATGCAAGACGAACTACATCTGCAGGTAGGAAGACACAGAGGGATCCTTAATAGACGTCATCTTTTTTGTTTTGTATGTATGCCTTTGGAAATCATAATTTCCCAACGAAGATTTTTCATATCTTTATGTCTTCAGTTGTTAACAATGCATACTGTAACAATAACTTTGCCTCTTCTTATGTCAGTGCATTGCAAAAAACCCCAAACATTTTCAAGGAGGCACACATCCCCCACACAGAACTGCAGTAATAATTCTATTTTAAGTCTATTTTAAGAGACGATAACTGCTGTTCTAGTGCAAAGTACAAACTGAACATTCATAATGTTAATTGACAGAAAATTGCCAATCTGAGGTTGAGTCATTTTTATTCTAGTCTGTAATCAAAGAGGAGATCATAATAATATGTGTGTGAGTACAGTAGATTATAGTATACTGTATAGTTCGTATAGTTACTGTTTTTTATTCACTGAAGGCCAATGACAATATATGACTATATTTCACATTCTATACATTCACTTTCAAACCTTACAACTGAATTGATATTTTCTGTGTGTAAACTGGTAGCAAATAAAAGGAATGACTGAGTTGCTGAACCATTGCTTATAAATGTGACTAAGCCCATAGGCTAGTCTAAGCTTGATATCTAATAACAGCATCAGGAAATTAGTATCTAGGTCTGTAATTTGTATCTCTATTGTTTTTAGGTCAAGGCTGGCAGACTTCATCAGCAACTGTCAGCCTGAAGCTCGTTCCATATCTGGCTGTCTGAGGGAGAACTATGCTGACTGTCTGCTGTCTTACTCGGGTCTTATTGGTAAGTTATTCTCCCCTGCATTTTCAAATTGGCTTCAAAATTTGCCATATTAATTATATAACTAGAATGGTACCTGGACCTAAAGCTGGAATACTAATTGTATTTCTTAAGATTTGCTTTTTGCCTGTGTTGTTGCTCAACAATCTGTGAAATCTATTCAGATGAACATGCAGCAATCAAATTCAATAAGAAAATGTCTTAATAGAAGAAGCTCACAGGGAATGACGAGAACCATATTCATGTCAGTTTTTTAAATCATAAACATTATTTGATAGTCAGTGTTTCAGCCATCAAACTTGTTTTCTAATTTCTCGTTTCTCCTCTTTATTAGCAGGGTGAAGCTTTTGTTAGCTTCATTAGAAGTGATGTATAAAGCTTTTATCAGCTTTTGTTTTTCCCAAACCAAAAGATAACAGAAACCCATTAAAAGTTTGGAAGTGGTAAATCATTTGGTAAATCAGCTTCACAGAATATGAGCCAGTTCTTTAAAACTTTTTTTACCACAATGCAGTCATCGTACAGCCATGGCCTTCAAGTCACACACTTAGGGTTGGATAATTCACTATCTAGCCTATTCAGCTACACTGTATGTAAGTATGTCATGAGTCTGAAAATATATCTTAAACTACACACAATTGTCACATGTCAATACAGTATGCACAGGTCAGGTTTTTTTAACCCAACCCACTCAAACAATTGTGAGAGCCAAAAATATTTAATTATTTAATTAATCAACCACCCGAACCCGACCCGCAAACCATCAACTTTTATATTATACAATTCTCAGAACCGAGCTTTGTGGTGCTCTCTAAGGTGCTGATCCTGCTGCCAACCTCACTACAACACGGACTATACATACTATTTGATTATAAATTACATGTTGTACAGGAACTGCTTCTTTAAGGGCATGTATGCATACCTGCAAGTTGTATAACAGTCAACTCAAAGATGTTGACTTGCAAGCCAAGTAACTTGATCTTAATTTATAGTGTACTGAGTAAGTAAAACTATCCACACCCACAAATTGTGATTAAAAATGTCATTTCATGGGTGGGACCTACAAAAACTTTTCTCTATTGGCCAGTTTCGATCGGTGTGACAGCTTAGCAACATTCACTGTTAGCAAAAGCGAGAGGGAGTCCAAGACGACAGAGCGGGAGTAAAGAAAATTAAAGCTGCAAGCAGCATTGGGTGGGCCCTCACACGTGTAGCACGTCAAGGTGTGAGGCAGCTGCGTTGCAGATTATGGAGCTCTGCCGGTGTGGCTGTGAATTTGCCACGTGCTTCATACGCTAACAAAGGTGTTAATCATCATTTCCTGCGTCCCCTTTGTGGCGCTGCATAGCACTTGGCGCTATGACTATAAATGAATATTGGCATGTAGATGTTTGAGGCGGACCAGTTATCAAGCACGTAAAGTTTGGTGCAGATGTCAGCATGTACACTGAAGTTTGTACAACTTTTAATCGTCAACGGGTTTAGAGTAGACTACGACAACCTGAAGTCAATCAGACTAATTCTGTAGGAAGAGTTCGTTAAAAAAACTACCATAAAATTAAAAATGGCCGACTTCCTGTTGGGTTTAGGGCATCTCTCCAAGAGGTTTTTTGGTACATCTGGGCAAAATACATGTGCCACAGAAATGTCGTACATGTAGGTGAAACGTGCCACGGGGGCTGCTTTGTTAAAGGTCCTATCCTGTTGCCAGCAGATGGTGCTATGACTGTGGGTGAATGTCTGTATGTACATGTGTTCAGGACGGGACACTTATTAAATATGTAAAATTTGGTACAGATCTGAGCTTGTACAGTCAAGTTACAACAACTTCCTATGTAATGGCGAAGCGTGGGACTTCACCGCCATGACACTGCCACGCCGTTAACCGAAAACTCAAGTTTTACAAAGTTTTACATCACGGCCTCATCAATGTGTTAAGTGTTTTCTGGGATAGTCTTGAAGTTGATACGTCCAACCTGCTAGGAGTAGTACATTACAACGTTAAATGTGTCATTTCCTGTTGCCAGCAGGTGGCGCTATGACTTTGAGTGAATATTGGAATGTGGATGTGTTCACACTGGGACTATTGTTACACTTTGGTGCAGATGTGATTATGTGTACTGAAGTTATAACAACTTACTTTTCATGGTTCACCAATTTTTGATGACACGCTACGGGCAAACTAGTTGACTTAACCGTTTGAATAACTTTTAATCGTCAGTGGGTTTAGAGCGCACAGCGAAAATTTGAAGTTGATCAGACTAAATCCCTAGGAGGAGTTTGTGAAAGTACAAAGTGTGTAAATCGCCAAAAATTACCATTAAATCCAAAATGGCTGACTTCCTGTTGGGTTTACACAATGGCTCCAAGAGGCTTTTTTGTACATCTGGACATGATACACGTACCACAGAATTTCATACATGTGGGTGAAACTTTGTCAGGGGCTGATCTGTAGGGGGCACTAGCAAGCCATTTTGCCACGCCCATTGATAAAATATTTGCCGCGTCTGAATTATGTGCAAAGTTTGGTGAGTTTTCGAGTATGTTTAGGCCCCCCAAAATTGAGGTTACTTTGCAGAAAACAGAAAAAAAAATCCCTTCAGTTTCAATAGGGACCTCACACGTTTTGTGCTCGGGCCCTAATTAATGCCTTCTTATGCTGGCAACACACTAGAGGATTATTATGGGTCCAATTTGCCCCTCCCAACAATCACGGGGGTGTTCCCAGTGCTTGACAAATGATCCTGTGACGCCTTTACAGACATAATCTTAAGGTAATCGACTGGATCAAAGGCACCCTGATTACAAATCATATTTATGATTAGAAATTGGGGAGCCAATGAGCGAGCTGACCAGGAAAGCATCTCCAACCTGTAGTGTATTTGCTTGCGCTATAGAATGTATATGATGATTCCCTCTTCTCAGCCATGAGTTCATCCACAATTTTATTTTATTTTTTGTTTTCCTGTGCAAAACATAGCTTAAAACAAGTGCAACTAGCTGAAGGTGACAATCTGCCTCCATGTTTGTCACGCATCTCAAGCAAACCTATTGTGGAAATGGACTTCTTTGTTGATGTCCACATATTCAACAAGAATATGTGATATTAAAAGGATATGTAATATATTGTAATTTTTATTTGGTACATCACATGTAAGAAATGATTGCTGAAATGAAAGTCTGTTGATTGCATAATATAGACATACCAGATCAATTAGACAGTCAGACTGAGATGAGATGAAATTCAGTGAATTGCAAATCTGTAGGGTGTGCATGACATCACAGTTCATACATTATCATTGTGCAGAAATACTACTTGTTTCCTTTTGTTCAGTCTTTCTTCCATCAGCAGGTTTTATTATGTAGAAAGGAAAAATTATGTCCCACTGAGTTTTAGTAATGAGATTTGAACGCAGGGCAACATCGACCAATTGCAAACTCAACAGGCAGACACTTTAATCTACACCATACATATTCTGCTTCACACAGTTCACGCCCTCTAATGGGGCCCCCCTGGCTTAACCACTCATCTCTGTCTCTGTAACAGAAATTTGCATGTACTTGCACAGCTAATAAATATGAGCCTACTCAAACCCATGCTCCCTATAAAAAGGGAAGATGACAAAATAGCCAAAAATGGTTTAATTTGAGTTTCTGCCCATGACCTACAATGTGCCCAGGCTTGGTCAACACTGTTGACTCCCAGTGGGTAGTAAGCAACAGCAGCCCTGAAAACAACACTCTCCAGAGCTGCAGTTTGCCACATTTGTTGACATCAGCAATACTTTAAATAATGTGCATGTTGTTAAAGTGGTAAGTGTCAGTGTCAAAGCAGAGAGTTGAACCCAGTGCTTATGCCAGTATAGCCTTTGTGGAAAAAAATATAGTTAAGCATCAATACAGTGTTGAATAAGCTCACCCTCGTTGACTGACCTGAACATTGAAATTTCAGTGTGAAGAGTGACTAAACCAAAAGAGTCCTGCTAGAGTGTTTCAATTATGATAATGGGACTACAGACTAACAATAGTTTTCTTCTCTTTCATGCTGCAGGTACAGTGATGACACCCAATTATTTGCGATCACTTGGTATTAGCCTGTCACCATGGTGTGACTGCAGCAGCAGCGGGAACAGCAAGCCAGACTGTGAAAGATTTGCTGAGTTTTTCACCACCAATCGATGCCTACGTGAGTTCCCATACTTAGCCATCCTGTAGAAAAAAATTTCCCTTCCAACCTTGCACTTTTCTTCACTGCATAAGGCCAAATTGACCAGTTGTACTGTCTAGACTTAAATTGGCCTTTTAAAATTGTGGACTTGGGGAAAATGGCTAGAAACGGGAATCATATGTGATGGTCTATCATATGTTTGACATGATAGACCATTTGAATACAATTTCTGTTACATTGACTGTTACATAAGTAACAATCTCTTGAGCAATTCTTATGTTTTTTCACATGTGAGTACAAGTAGCCTTCAATGTTCAATATTCAAACTCCAATATAGAGCAAATTTAATTGAATTGAATAGCCAATTGGTTTTTGATTTTAAAAAACTTAAGATTAAGACTAGATAAATACAAAACGTTTTTGAGTTTTGCCCACATTCTGTTTTGCTCATGGAAAGGTATCTTAGTTTAAATGTCAAATTAATGATGAGAAATTAAATTACATGAATTCTTTTTGAAGTTTTCTCATTTCAGGCAGTTATGGAGTTCATTTTGTAGAGCTTTGTGAATCATAGCTATTACTGGTAGACAGTGCTTTTAAAGAGGCTCTTGAGAAAGGCCAAGTCATTTTTTCCTACACAATTATCCAAAGTATCAATTATAAGCAGCTTTTAGTTGGACATTAACAAAATGTTTTGGGCCATGACACTTGCAGTTCTTTCCAAGACACGGACAGAAGGCATCTGCTAACTTGTTAGATGTGAAGACTATGTTTTTTTAAATGGGACTCAGAGGGCATTCTGGGGGATATTGCTTTTTACAAGTAATTATAACATTCTACAATTGAATGAAAGTCATGACTCTGACTTTCTCATATATCCGTAGAGTATTTGCTCAATTAAGTATGTGGTCATTAGTCCTGTGAATCCTTCACATTCCATGCCACTGAATAGTAAAACAGACATTCTGCATATGTACAGGATCAAGAATGCCACTAATTAATACATTATATTCCTGCAGGTAACGCCATCCAGGCATTTGGCAATGGTACTGACGTTGGTGTTTGGCAACCTCAACCCCCAATTCAGCCTACTGTACTAGAGCCTAGCATCACTCGGAGGGGTAAAGACCGAACCAATAACGCACTGGACACACTGACGGACATGAACAAACTGGATCTTGATGGCGAATCATTATATCACATCTGCGGGACCTTACAGGTGAAGTTTTAAGAGTTTCTGTGTGTTTGGACATAGGCTGTATCTTTTTTGTCAGATGTATAACACTGATGTTATCTTACAAAATAAAAATTGCATGCCATAAAAAATTAAAGTAGAGAAAAAAGAAAGAAGTGGATATGAAGTGCCTGAATACATTTTTATAATATTAAAAAGTAACCAACTAAATGAGTCTCTGTGCGATGCAGGGCTGAAAAAAACCCAGATTTATCCAGTTGTATTTATCTGAATTAATTAATGTATTTTCCATGTTACTCAATTATGGCCCATATTTTTATATGCTTATATGTAGGTATTTTTGTGTCTTTTTAATGCAAGCATAGCTGTCACCAATGGTCCACACTGGAACTGGAAATAAATTAGTGTAATAAATGTCAAATCTAAAGGAGAAAAAGTAACAAGGTAGCAACTCAAAATATCTAGATAACAGTCTAAATTTTCAATGTAATATCAGCGGTCTAAAGTCTATTACAGTTTATTCTGTCTGACCATAAACTTCAAATTGCTGGATATCATGTACAATATGCTAAACATGAATAGCTAACCTTAGCCTAGCCAGTTGTGTCTGAGTGCACAAATGCACTGCCAGTCAAGCTTCATGCCAAGACGGCAAGCTAACTGTTATACATCTCTTTCTACAAAGGAAAGTGATTGTACTATATAGTGCCGCGCATATATATTATTGTGATGAGGTTATTGTCTGAGGAGGAGGCGGAGTAACTCTGAGGTGAATAGACTAAGAGCTCATGCAGTTAAAGCCAAGACTCTGGATGTTCATCAACATTATACAACTATCTGGTCATGCAAGGTCATAACATGGTGTCAGAAGTTGGTCCAGTTCGCCACTTTGTAGTAGGTAAAGTTACCAAAATTTTGCTAACATTAGTTGAAGACTGACATTGAGCTAGCATGTGCGTTCCTCGGAGAAAGGGCAGCATGCGAAGAGGATGGATCAGTTTAGATTGCCATTACCGCTGGTGCTAACAGGCAATTTGGGAGAAAACTGGAGGAGATGGGAACAACGCTTCCTAATCTACATGACCGCGAGTGGTGCAGACGGTAAGGAGGAAAAAATTAAAGTAGCCATCTCGCTGCATGCACTAGGAGAGGAGGCTCTTAAAGTGTACAACACGCTTAACATTAAACATGATGAAGAAGAGTCTGTTTGAAGATGTTCTTGAAGCTTTCAGATCCTATTGTCAGCTCAAGAAAAATACAGTGTTTGAATACCAGTTTTGGGCGCATCCCATGGCAGAGTCTATCACAATCGAGAAATATGTGACAGAACTCAGGCAAAAGAGAAAAAACTGTGACGCCACGGAAAATGACATGATCAGAGACCAGATTGTGTTTAGTATGCATGATCAGCGCCTGAAAGAGAGACTTTTAAGAGAACCAAATCTCACATTAGGGAAGGCAATAGATGCATGTCAAGCTGCTGAGACTGCTAAAGCACAAATACAAGCAATGACTGCAGCTACCCACGAGAAAACAGTGCATGCTCTGCAAAAGAAAAAATTAAAGCTATGGCACAAAGGTCGAAAACAGCCAGTTCAACACACACAGATCAGTGGACAAGAAATGTAGAAAATCTCATCAACCAATGCAATGTCGGGCATATGTGTGGAAAACGGAACCATTATGCAAAGATGTGTGGGTCAGGCAGAAGTCATAATGGCAAGACAGTGCACGATATAAGACCAGAAGTAAATGTTCTGTTTACTGGAAATGAACGTTCATCAGCAGGGCCCAAAAGCTGACAGGTCCTGGTACTCTGAAATAGACGTGGACGGGATGCCTGTCAAGTTCAAGTTGAACACGTGAGCCAAGGCCAATGTTTTACCACTCAAACTGTACAAGGCCATGAAAAGGAAGGCCAGGCGTGAAAAGGAGAACACACCTAAAACTGCAGCACACAAGGACAGTGCTGGTGGCAAATGGAGGGACGAGACTGAGGCCAGAAGGGGTGCTCACACTCAAATGCCCCACACCCAAGGCCCAGGCAAGTCTACAACTTTATGTATCAAAACACTCATCTATACCCATCCTAGGGCACCAGGCATGTGCTGACTTACATCTTGTGAAAAGAGTGGATATTGACATACTGGAAGTGGAACATCCAGCAACAAAAGATGAGCTGATAGCTCAACATCCAACTGTCTTTGAAGATTTAGGGGAGTTTTCTGGAGAATATCACATTCACATAGACCCCATGACCACACTAGTCATACATGGGTGCAGGAAAACTGGCAGTAATGGACAGACTCAAGACCACACCTGATGACCTGTTACAAGCAGATGTGATTGCACGAGTGACCGAACCAACTCCGTGGGTAAATAGCCTTGTAATCACAGAAAAGAAAGACAAGAAGAAACGAAGGTTACGATATGGTAACCCTAGTTCTATAAGCACAGGCGGAGCCCTCTACTGGACTCTATGGGTACAGTGGGTGGAGCCCGATCACTGTCCGCCCTAGCCGCGACAAGCCAAAGTCCACCCCACCAACCCGGTCGGCCAAAGGCCGGCCAAAGCCCCGACCACCACTTCACCTAATGACAGAGTGGTGGGACACCCCTGAGAAGGTTGCTGGACCAATAGGGGCTTGGCCTGACCATTAACACCTGGACTGCCCTGACTTCTCACTGGAACGTCAGGCACTGCCAGTGTATGTTCCCCCTCTACACCCAGTAGTCACTAGATCCTCACTTTTCAGATCCTAGGTCGCACTTGAGAGCTGGATCCCGAAAAGGAGCCCGACATATCCAAGAGACAGAAACGCACAAATGGGCACAGTAAGGGCCAAGATTCCATTGTTCAGATCTCTTCGACACACACCCCGCTGAAAAAGGGTCGTAGACACTTCCACACTTCCGAGTGGAATTTGCACACACCACTAAGGGTGGGTCTGTTCCCGCCCATATACAGGCTTGGGAGATTCACTCACAAAGCCAGCTGGCCAGGCTCTTCTTGGACAGGGTTTTACTGACTACCACATCACTGAAACAGATGAACAGATGACCAGTGCATCGAATGGGGACTGTGTGCTCTACATATGACGTTAGCCTAGCACACATGAACACAACAGATGCACTCTCACCTCCCTGCACCCTAAGTGGGGTAGGAGGGTAGAAAGCATCCAGTATTTATTGTCCTGGACATGAACATGCTCCTGTGTTGTCTCAATCTGGCTGCACTGTGAACACCAAGAACCAGCATGCAGCTGGGGTGAACCGACAGGCACACAGCTCACTCACCTTAGCAGAGGTGAGAGCAAGGCGCAGGGCTGTTCAAGAGATAGCAGGACTGCTCCAGGGGCTCATAAGGTGCAGCTATTAGAGCCACCTACACAAGCAGCATGAGGCGCTGAGAGACATGACACCGGTTGCTGTCTTCTCACACCCTGCAGAAAGTGCATCACAAGGGAGTGGGTGAAGACTGTTCTGTCACCAAACCCCCTGTGACAGCAGAGATAGCTGCAGCGCGACAGCCCCTTCGGAAAACGGATCCCACCGAACAGGTAGGCAGATCCGTCTCCCTCTCAATGCATCAATGCTGAAAGCCCAACCAAGACGTGGTGGAGACTGCCCGCCACTTGGATGGTCTGTGCGACCTCAGCGGCTAGACCAGCCTGAGTCTGCCTCTCCACAATTTTAGGAGAAAAACCTGGAGAGGCTGGTCCAACACCAGCATTATGCATATGAAGCCTCACCCTTGAGACAGAGCCCCCCAGACCATAGGTACAGGCCAGGGCTCTGTCACTGTAGGCGATGTCACTTCTACCAGAATGATGAACTACCGTTCCCGCCCCACCTAACTGGAGGGATGAGATGGGGTGGGGAGGAACACAAACAGCACCCTTTCTGGCAATATCGCGTGTGTAACGCGTCCATCCCCAAGGGTGGGCTGTCCTGTGGCTGTGGGTGTTGGCAAACAGATCCACCTCCGCTCTCCCAAAGTGAGCTCAGATCTGCTGAACCACATTGTTGTGCAGTCTCCACCCGCTCGGTTGGAGTCTCCAAGCCTGGGATGTGAAGGGCTTTCAGAGACAGCAGGTGTTCTGATGCCCACATCTATAGGCTCCCTGCCAGCGCCAACAGAGCCGTGGATTGGACTTCACCCTGTGTGTTGATGTATGCGCTGGAGGAAATGCACCACCAAACTAGAAACACAGCTTGGAGTGGATTGTGGATGTGTGGTGTTTGGCCCCCTCGGCTCTCCTCGGGGAGCCATAACACTCACTGCACTCCCCTGGCAGGTCCCTTGCATCCAGTGAGAGACTCATCTGTGAAGACTGACACGGATGAAGACACCCTGCCGAGCAGCACCTGTGCTGCCAAACAGTGAGAGACCCCCAGAATCGCAGGTCCTCCTGCACTAGAGTTGCTTCCTCTTGAAAGGAAGTGGACATTCTGCATGAAAATGTGTACACGTGAACAACGCATCTTCGGCACTCTCCACCGCCAAACTTTCCATAAATGGGAGTTTAGCCCAAGGGGGGGGGCGAGGTCGAACGGGCTATAGTGTCCCTGAACGCGGGGTTGCTCCCTGGTGTCTTCGAATACACCGCAGCTGGAAGAGACGTGATGTCTGGTCGCGTCTCTCCGGCTATATCTGACCTAGATTGGCTTTAGCTCAACTCATGCCGTCGCAGCTAGTCAGCTAAACGCTGTGCTGGTTTGGTTGAGCATATGTCGACAATGTGGTTGTGTGTTTTAGGAACACACACACACTGTCAGTGAGCTAGCAGTGTTCCTGTGGACACTGTCGGGAGTGCACGGGGAACGCAGAGTTAGCTCGCATTGCTGTATTGTGTCACCGCCATGGCAGCAGCCATTCATTGGGCTGCCAGGCGAAGTAGCCGACCCATTGCGCGGGACAGACAGCCGGCTAGCGAGGAGGAAGCCCAGGTCTTACTACCGTCTCACTCGGATGCCACCAGGAGAGCGACGTGGGACATGGGCTTCTGTCCCAGTGGTTTGAA